TCACGTGCAGCCCAAAGTTTCAATCTGCTGTTGGAGGCTATTTCCGCGATCAAACGTTGGACCAGTCCCTCTCGCAGACAGGATTGCCTGGGTTTGCTACCATGAATATAAAGCTATTTTGCTAAGTTAACTGTCTTGCAGGAAGCTAAAGGCGTTCAGTGATTCACTGCCTACCCCACACTCCCTCGTTGAACCATTGTCCCGAGAGACAGCGGCGTTTCTCCTCCTGGGGGTCAGCTGTTCACCACAGCTGCGCGATCATTGAAGCTTAAGGTTAAGTTTGGGTTTAGACTTAGGTTAAGGCTTATGCTTACACATTGGCTTATGCCTAAGCCTATGATTGGCCTTAGGCTTAGTCCTAAGCTTGCTCCGAGCGAATGAACGGCGTCTCAATTTTAGGTGACCTGACCCCAGGAGGAGAAACGCTACGCACCCGCCTTATCACAGTGCCCCTCATCGATAGACTGTCTGCCTCCTACACTTTTCTATCATAAAAATAAACAAAAACTTTATTTATGACATTTACAGCAAATTATTTGGATTTGTCTCTTGAATATGATCATTGCCAATGGTGTTCTGCTTTTCCTTTTTTCTGATTCCAGAATCTACAGCTTCACCATATTGCAGTTCTAACAATGTCTTGTCGTATGTCCGATTTAGGACGTAAATCGTGAGCTGAAGCGAAGATTTTTTTCAAGTCAGGATTTCGTAGCTTGAACGCACTTTGGCGATGGGCGCCTGGACGGCTCACCAGCCGTCGCGCTGTCGCTTTCCGTCTCGGCCGTGATCTGTGCATCGGCGCTTTGTCCTCTGATCATATTCCACACGCTCTACGTATTCTCACAAATAGATCAACAACACTGCCCGGTTTGTGGTTTCGGTCATTTGCTTTCCATAGAAGACCATCTGCAATTCGCTGCTCTCTTTTAGCCTGCCCTGTCCTTTGTGTGGCTTCCACTCACATTACTACCTGCCACACCCTTATTACTTCGTAACTTTCATTCAATAGAGAAATAGGTCGAACAGCACATATCTTGTTTCAGACGCTAATCGGAGAGCTCTGGAGAAAAGTGGATTTGGCAAAAGAAGAAATACATGGCAACATCAGAGAGAAACGTCATTTGGCTTGTGAAGTGGCTCCATCTTATTGTAACCTCATTGGAGAACATGGATTTTCCGAGAGTAGACCAGTGGTCAAGAGAGAGCATACATAGTTGGTGATCAGCCAGAACATAGGTTGCGACTAGCTCGACATGATGTCCGACCATTGCTAATAAGAATCGTTCATGAAAAAATCATGATTCTATTTCTCATTAAATGCCCTACGAAGCGAGAATGAATTCACTAGGTTCTGTGAGTGCTTTTCTATCGAAGGCAATAGAACCTACTAGGTTGTCTCATGACTACATTAGTGTCGCTTCTCTATTCAAACAAAAGTTTTCTTCTAAATCCTTAAGCTTTTACATCGAGTCATATACCATTCGAAAGAGAATTGTCTGCTCTACAAGAAGTTGTTTCATTCTTCCACCTCTGTTCCAGGGTTTTCAAATTTTAGGTCTGCGAAATGGGAGGTCCAGCCGACAAAAATTGACCAAACCGACAACTAGCTCTAACTTTATTTTCCCTGGGGAGAAATCAATCAATGATGTACCCTCTACTTACTCATGACCTCTTCTAAACATTCCACCCTTAGGTTGCCGAAAAAGCTTTGCCGTGTTTCTTTTCGAATTGGCTGACCGATAAGCCATAGCAATTTTCAAATTAAAATTGTTCCTCGTAAACGCCATTGTTTCATATCGAGTGGTGTTCCTTTTGTGAGCACTTCTTCTGCTCTATTCGCTCATTTGTTTTGTTTTTATGTTTGTTGGGAATTAGTTCGAATTTTAGGTGTTTAGGAATAAGGTGTTTTATCCACGAAAGTGACCGCATTTCTTTGAAAAAAATTATCCCCTGAGAAGATGAGAAAATCAACCAGGCGTACATTCCTAACTTAGTCATGACTTGTTCTTTAAATTCTACTAGTTTTTCAATGTCTCGGCTATAAAAAATTTCGACCTAGATCTCAGGTAATGGTGCTCGACCGTCGAGTTCTGGTTGAAAAACCAGGTCTGGAAATGGAATGACGCGACTTGTTGGGGAAACCTTAATAGGTGTAGTGTTCAGAAAAGAGGTCATGCATAAGTAGAGAGTACGTCGATCGGATTGATTTCTCCCAAGGGAAGATAAAGTTAGATAGTTGTCGGTTTGGTCAATTTTTGTCGGCTGGACCTCCCATTTCGCAGGCCTAAAATTTGAAAACCTGGGAACAGAGGTGGAAGGAACACAACATCTTGTAGAGCAGACAATTCTCTTTCGAATGGTATATGACTCGATGTAAAAGCATGGGGATTTAGATGAAAATTTTTTGGTTGAAAAAAAGCGACACTATTTATGAGACAACCTAATATTTTCACTGATTTCCTACTCTATCGGATCGCTGTCTCTACTCACGCCTTCAACCCGACTTTTTCAATGCGTTACCTAGTACATGACGGCCCTAACCGCGCATTCCTTTCATGCGCGTCCGTCGCACGGCCCCAAACCTTACCTCGACGCTCTTCATACAGTATGTCTTCGTATGCGCTGAAGCATTGTTCTAGCTTTAGTGATCACAAACTACGATAGTTGACATGTTGGCGGAAAAAATACAGGAATTTCCATGTGGACGCATTCGCTTCATAAATGAGGACAACATGAAGCATATGGAGAATTATGAAGTCAATGCCAGCTTCAAAGCGTGACTCTATGCCCATTCCTTGTTAGCACGACCGACTTTACAGAAAGTTTAGGCCAATGACTTTTGTATATTTTCGATGGTTTCTGTCTTTTCTCAACTTTCCAGTTTCACTTCCCATCTCACCCTATTATGAGCGCGTTCAAAACACACTTTATCATGTGGCAAGACTTTAGCTTTCAACAACGTTACAAGCGCGTAAATCTCCAGTTGCAGCCTCCCAAAACTCACAAGTTGCTGTTATGACTTGAATTTCCTAGAAATGCTTCCTTTTGATTTGTAGTTGGCCTTTCGATATAACTTTTATTTTTTAACATAGTTGATATTCCCGCCAGTTTAAGTAGAGTTGTCGCTTGTATAGCTGCATATGGCGGACTTTAATGGTTTGCATTATTACCTTTCTGGGCGGAAGTGGTGTAGTGGCAAGTGGCACGCTTACCACGCGAGCGGTCCGGGGATCAAATCCTGGGTCGTGAGTCGCCCGGGCCAACCAAGCCTTCCATCCCTCCGGGCAGGGTGAAAATCGTGTCGAGTACGTGGTCGCAGAGGTACGACCCCCCCCCCCGAAATCGAGATCCTGGCACGACCCCCTCTAACAGAGCAAATTAATTCAATTAAAATAAATCCTGCAAAACAAATCAAAAAAAAATTCAAAAAAATTCTGCAAAATAATGCTAAGGACGCTTCATCTTGTCATCTATGCACGTCTTCCATCGCTGCATACTTTTGTGTACATACTGAAATATCGACTCGAGGAAAGAGGCATTAACTTTGTGTGACCTCAAGGCGAGGTTCGTTCAGAAACGCACAGAAATCCTGAAGACACGGGGTTGCGATTCAATCTTGATTCTTGCTTGAGTATATCAAAACAGCCGAGTGTATCAAAGGCCGATTCAACGGCAGCTGCGGCGCGATTGTCACTGGGTCAGATTTGCCGAAATTTCAAAAAAAAAACGTCCGAATCTACACCCTCGATGAAAAGGTTGCATTCCTCCATTTCACAACCTTTGAAGCAGCTTGAGGTAGAGTTAGATAGAGCTGGATTTCGCGTTTCCAACAAGCATCGAAATTGCTCTGGAAGCCTTCCTTGCAGAAAGATAGGGTCTGTCAAATTTCGTCGAGTAAATGTCGAGGAGGCCGAAATTTTCACGCGAGTTTTTGCCACTTCAAGAGCAATATATCTCTTATATTGTAAGATCCTGAAAAAGGGAAGATAGTTTTGGAAAGCGGAAGGTTTGCGCTTCCTGATGGTCTGTTTAGTTTTCTTCTACAGCTTTTTGGTTGAAGAGATAATTGCGTCGAGGATCTATCGAGGTCGGATCCGGCCACCTGGAAATCCGCTCCCTCATTCACCATTGCAAGTGTGACTCGTTGGCAACACTCGGAATGTGTCTAGAACAATATCTTTGAACGCAAACAATAAGAATAGGAGCAATCGTCATCATCCGATTTGGTATTGGTATAAGCCATGCATCCCTCCTCCACTCACAGTTGCAGAATCGATTGAAAGGTGTTATATGATGGGGACCTTCGAACGAAACTGTATTGTAGTAGACATAGTGTGTTGTGCTATTCCTGTAACCTAAAAAACAACTTCATTTGCCCAGCGCTTTTTCTTCACGGTTGTCGTTTTTCCGACAGGGTCCCTAACAACAGCGTCATTCTCAGCGAGGTATTAAGGGAGAAGGAGCGAGCGATAGGCAGAGGAGGTGCCTTTGCAGCGCGTGCGCACATGTGGCAGTCTTCTTTGCGGGGATGCACTTTCATTCTTTGTACTGCCTTCAAATACGCCCTTCTCATGAAGGTGGAGGAATGGAGCGACTGAACCTGCAAAGAAAATTTAATATCATGTTTTTTTCAGATGTTTTCATTTTCTGCTGCGCTATACCCTATTACCTATCTGCACCATGATACCACTTCTGTTACTGACCCCCAAGAGTACGACCCCCCATGGACCAGCCCAACAGGTACGACCCCCCTGTCGAGGATTTCCTCGACCGATATTCACCCTGCTCCGGGTCGGTTAATTGGTACCAGACTTGTCTGGGAGGATAAAAACACTGACTTGTACATCGGCTGGCCCCCGCAAGTCATTGTATAGGCCACATCGCATTCAAACGCCACTACGAATGTACAAATGGAAGTAGAATGCGTGCCGCATCCCAAAAAGGGATTGATCAACGGCAAATGCTTTATCCTTATCATATCTTCCGTTTGAAATTTCGTGATGTCTCATCAGTTACAGTTTTGGGTATGTTATAAACATAGAAATAATTCAGCATGCTGTTTTGGACCGCCAGGATTGAAAGGATATCCAGGTCATCCCTCATCGGACGGAATCGATGGTGTCCCCGGTGAGAATCTCCTCTTTGGATACAACAAGAGAATTCACTTACCCTCCATTTCAGGAAAACGAGAAGAGCGTCGAGTGCAGACCATACACCACAAGTTACGACGGCCAAGAAAAAGGAAAAGGAAAGCCACTTTTCTTGGCCGTCGTCACTTGTGGTGTGTGGTCTGCACTCGACGCTCTTCTTCGTCTTCCTTCGAAAGGTACGGTAGCGTTTATCGAATTTTACAAGCCAATTTTATTGTTGGACGCCTAAAAGGGAGTGAAGCGCTTCGGTAATGTAGGGCGGATCCCGATTGCCTCCTTTGCATCTGTGCAAAGGGGTGCTCTTGCCCACTACTTAGCTCCCATCGCTTGATGAAAACAAATTGGCGCTCATGTCCTTGGGGCGGAGGGGGGACAACAAAAAACAGGGCCGATGGTAAGTGAGACTAGGACTAAGCCTAGCACAGAAGAGAAACGCCAGGGAGAACGTAAATTGCTCACATGCTCCCCAAGATCCCTTTTCCTCCCTAGGGCTTAGTCCCAAGCACAGTAATCTAGCACCGCTCACCTGATGTCCCCGCCCCAAGGACATGAGCGCCAAAAAATTTATTGACAGTTCTAAAAATATCTCCCTTCAAGGTACGCCAGGAGACGCTGGTCGACCAGCCGATCAGGACGCACGACCATTATGTGTTCGAGAGTGTCCAGCTGGTGCACCCGGGCTCGTTTAAAAATCTTCTATTTTTTTTCTTTTTGTTTCACTTTTTAGCCTTACCACACAAAGTGTCTGTCCCCACATCAGTTCTCCTCATTATTCTTTCCCACGTGGTTTTTGTCGTTGTAATGTGATTCTAGGTTTTGAATGCAGGATATGTAGAACCGCGATTCTGGCTTATTGAACCTTTGGTTTTAGTAACATTCAAGACTAATTGGTTTAATTACTGTTGCATAACTGTTTCCCTATGTGGACTTGAAGGCGAGATGGCATGGTTGGTCACGATTGGAGTGTAAAGGTGGAAGCGATGAAGGATCCAAGTGTAAAGAAATAAGGGAAATGGCCTAGAACCTGCTAGAAAGCCTTGTTTTCCCCGTTGATTTTCGCTTTGGACGATTCACATCGCTGTTTGATGCGTCAATCAATGTAAACAAGCGTTTTGCCATTCGTAAAAGTGGAAGAGTCCGACGGCGAGAGAGGCAGCAGGTGGGATAACCACTAGGTGAGCGGGCAAAGGGATGAATGTGTCGGAGGGGACGGAGGGGACCTTGCCTGGCCCCTACAGACACCCCCCCGCGCGAAAGCGCCATGTTTCATTTTTTCGGGGCCCGCACAGAATTTTCTAGATAGACGCCTCTTGACCTTCTGGTTCACATAAATTATCGTGCTTCCGCCTTAATATCCACTGTCTCATTTCAATCTGATAAGGGAGGTCTTTCAGGACATGGAGCGCTTTTTCGAAACGGTTTCTTGCCATGTTGTGGGGGCTCATACGAGGAACACAGAACCATATCCATTTTTCCTGAACGCCTCCAGGAATGTCAAAACAGTGGTGAAGAAATGGTCCAGAGTTCGATCCCCGGTGATGACTAATTTTTGCAATATAGTTTGGCGCCCCCAGATTGCCGCCAAATGGCGCCATCGTCGAGAATAGATGTCATTGTCGTGTTTTGCGGCAATTTGGAGGCGCCAACATAAATTGCAAAAATTTGTCATCACGGAGGATCGAACTTTGGACCATTTCTTCTCCCCTGTTTTGACACTCCTAGGGGCGTTCAGGAAAAATGGACCATAGTTCGCCCAGTACTTCTATTAGAAGTCCATTATTATGTCCCATTGTTAGTCAGGTCAGGATTCCGAACATTATTACTTTTTTGCAGGAGAATCGGTCCACCTGGTGAAAAAGGTGAGCGCGGCCTTCGAGGACGTCCTGGCACTGCTGGTGTGCCCGCTCCTCCATCACCGATTGGTGCTCCGGGGGAGCCTGGAGAAAAGGGTTTCCGAGGACTAACAGGGCCACCTGGTGAATCAGGCGAACCGGGAAAAGTTTATACAGCCAATGGACCGCCAGGGAAAGAGGGCGAACCGGGACCACGTGGTCCACCAGGTGAAAAAGGACAGCCGGGACGAGATGGTGATAACGGTAAGTCGTTAAGCTTGGCTATTTACGCGATTAAATTTCCTTGACGCCTCAAAGATACTTATTCAGGAATCGAAGGTCCGCGAGGAGAACGCGGTTTTCCCGGTCTCAAAGGCGAGAAGGGACCACGTGGCGCAGTCGGCCCTCCTGGGCCACCAGGACCACGAGGACCTGCATGGCCTTGCCAAAGTTGTCCTCCGCCACGTGTGTCGCCGGGTTACTATAAGAAGTCTGTTAAGACCTGATATATTCATTCTATTGCATAAAAGTGTTTTACTGTTCTTGTTGAGGGATCACGTGAAATAATGAAATGATTTCTCTATTTTGATAAATGAAATTGGAAGGAACTGGAATAAATCTCAACAAATTCTTTTTTAATTGTCTGGGCTTAACACACTGACGACAGTGTGACGCGGTTGCGCGCCACGCCTAATGCGAAGAAGGCTCGCTTTTCTTCCTTTACCTGGAGCTGTCAATGGTTCGGAACTATCCTGATACTTATCGGATTCGGGAAACTATATAGCCATTACCAGTTATGAAATAGATTGAGAAAGTAGAAAACTTTATTCTACGTCTTGGACATCAAATTGGCATATTCTAACCTGAAAAACCACACACACCAAGTAGAGTTAATGTCAGCGCAAATATGCAATAGTTAGGGGCAGGGGAACGAGTTACCAGGGGCCGTATGCTTATGCTCCGCCAACAGGGAGGGGTCCCCGTCGCGCGGTATGCGTATGCTCTCCCTCCGTGAGTTCTCGGGAGAGGCGCACTGGAAACATGAAATGGAAGACAATGCTGATCATAGTCATAATATAGTGGATATCAAAGAATTCTAATGATTTTCTCCTTAACTTTCGAGGTAACATTGCTAATCTTCGATCCTGAGTATCCTATCCTGCATATGCACCCCAAAACTTCATAATTAGTAGCTTTCCAAGCCTAAAACTAATGTCTGGCAAGATGCCAAGTTCTTCGCGCCATGGATACTCTGCATGTCTGCATCCCCTGGGGAGCCCCGCGAGCATAGCATACGGCCGCTTTCGGGGCGGCCGCAGCCGGGGAGCTCCCCCAATAGGGGGCCCCTCCCTTGTTGGGGGAGCATAGCATACGGCCCCAGGAGTCGCATAAACATGCCTCCTGAAATAATCACACCCCATTCTTCTGCAGAGGACCAAGCTCTCAGTTGAGTTAACCAGTTTGCTTTTGCAAGAATTGAAATAGAAGGAAATGTTTGCCATGGCTCCAGATGCCTTGGCTGCTTACACCAGAATGTTCCTCCCGCTCTAAGAACGACTACTCTCAAATTTAAACTTGCTGGATAAAAATTCGGTCTGCGCCACTGCTTACCGCTACTTATACTGTATTCCGTTACTATTGTTTTTAAGGAAACCGTAAATTTGTAAACATATCTCGGGGCAATGTGCCTCCGGTAGGGTCCAGCCTGTACGAAGGCCACTAGGATCAAGTCTAACGCAGAGCGCGCGAGTTACTCCGGAGCCGAAATGAGAAACTTGGCTTGAGCACTTGGATGCCCCATCTTCTTCTTCAAAGGCTTAACAACCTCTCAAAACGTGAGCAAAATCACGCGAATCTAACGGCCAGTTTCCGGTGCTTCCCCCCCCCAGCCCCAAGCCCACATTATACTCCTTCCCGGAAGAGCACGAGTATTTGCCTGTCTATTTTGTAGATATGGAACCGCTCTCAAATCAGAGATCGAGCCCTCAAATCTATGTTACTCACAGATACGAAAGACCACCCCTAGATCAATCGGTCATATAAAACTGTTAAGCGCGAGTACTATGGCGGTACACTCACTTTTTTGGCTTGGCGTGAATTGCATGACTTTGCCGTGATTACACAGTACCTACTTCAGCTGACGATCTTCCTGAATTGTTGCATAAGCTGCACAGCTTTGTTTTACTGGTATTGTATCTGTAATGTTTCCTTAGTCATTTCCCTCCCTAATAAGGACATTAAGCTATTTTGATTCCCGATTTCCAGCTTCCTAGACTAAGATTAAGCTCTTTTAACCGGGGAAAAATGACTTGGCTAACATTTTCTAATTATTAGATTCTAATGAGGGCCCTTGAGTACAAATAGTAGTTCTTAGTGTCTTGGGGATTATTTCTTACCTATATGTAACATCGATAACGTTTACTGTGAGCTTTTGAGCAAGAAGTATTCACTTGCCTTTTTTGCCCGATGTATTGTGACCGGCTTCGGCAGCAATCCGAACGTCTTTGTATTGCGGAATGATGAGGAGTGGGGAATCATAGATCAAGATCTATTTTTGCGTTTAGATCTGCTATATTATGACCTAGATAGGAAGGAGCTTCATCTGGGGCGTTTCGAGGTAACAGTGATGCCCTTGTTCGTGTTAGTGTATATGATTTTGTGTTAGATTGTATGCATTTGTGTGTTCTTTGACAACCACCGCTCGTTTAATCCGTCCGAATACTATTGTATTTTTTTCTGACAGAATGTCCGTGATTTCTGAGTAACTAATGTGTGGTTCAGCTTATTTAAGGTAAGGTGGAATGCTTGCTTCTGCCCCTACTATTAAGACCGAGGTAAGCCTTTGATGGCTCTTTTTTGTTGTTTTACAACTCTGGCTTGTGTAGCAGGGTCTGTCCTATCGTTGTTACTTTTCGAAAATTTTTTACGACCCCCCTCCCCCAAGGTGGATTTGATACGACCCCCTTTTCCCTACCTCCACCATCTCCATCTTCCATCAAAACCCCGCCCACTTTTTCCTCCAAAAATGCCGTCGAGCGAGCGGGGGTATATACGCACGCTGAAACGGCAAATTTTTATCCTGCGCGCCTCCCCACTCATCCAGCGCGCCCTCCACTCTACAGCCTACCCCCACGAAATCTTAGTTTCACCTCAATCCCACACGTGATTTCGAGCGAACTAAAGTGGGTACGACCCCCCTCCTACAAACTCAACCAGGTACGACCCCCCCCGTTGTTACTCGTAACAACGTAGGGTTGACCCTGCTTCCAGCGCAAAACACGTCGTCTCCCGAGCCTGCTTGATAAAGACCGATATTTATGATGGATATTGATTGATACCCGCGTGACTCAATTGAATTTTGATTGTTGTAACCCCTTCAATCTATAGTGTGATTAGTAAGCAAGTCTGAGGCTCCCAGACAAAAATCGATATTTTCAGTCGATATCGATCGATAACATGTGAACCGATAAAATTTCCATTATCAGTACAGGCCCCAATCAATAGTGTGATTTTCGAACTTATTCGAGCACTCTGCACAAAAACCGATATTTTCGATCGATATCGATCGATAACATGAGGCCCATCTAAAATCCAACTCCTATGACACTACGCAATCAATATTGTGATTCGCTTAGCAATTCGAGACCACTGCACAAAAACCTACATTTTCTACGGAGATCCCAGCGTAAGTTCCGCCCACCTGGTCGGACTCCGCCCACTACCGTACCTTTTCTAACCAAGCCTTGCCTTCACCCTACACCCTCTAGGGGCAACTTCCTACCTATCCGGGACCACGCCACACCCATCCAGGACCATGCCCCAACTGGCTTCTTCTGCCTACGTCTACGTAACGTGCGAGCCTAGTGGTTACAAACAGACAGACAAACACACCAAACTGCTGCTTTATATATAAGAGGGATTGGTTAGAATAGCAGGCGTTTAGCT